TTTCCTTTTTTTTTTCACTTCTTCATTTTCTTGCTTATTTGTGGCATTAGTTACCATCTTTTAGTTTTTTATTTTATTTACCAGTTTGAGAATTTTTTTTTCACCTTATAAGAAATTTAACCCTTTCCATTTACTTCACTACTGACAACTTTACCCTTAAGTCTGCCATTTTGGTTCAAGCTTTGTTTTCTCTTTTTCTTGTTTCCACTCGTTTTGTATAGTTGACATATGGACCAAGATAGGGCTTTTTTTTTTCCTTCTACTTTCTCTATTGTGTTAAATGCATATATTCTGCTTTTAGTTATACACCCTCCTCATTCCTCCTTCTCTCCCCCTCATTTCCTTCCTCCTCTCGCTTCCTTCACCTTTCTTCCCTTCCTCTTCACTCCCTCCCTGTTCCTTCCTTCTTTTTCCTCCCACATCTCTGTCCTGGGTACTGCTTGGACTTACCCTTGGCCATGGCTCAATCTTCCTGTACCAGGCAGCTGGGTGGACATTTGTAGCTTCAACACCTGGCTGAGACCAGGCTGAAATTATGTTCAGAGTGAATATAGCAGTTCTCGGCTTTGACTCTTGGCAGCCTTGCTGAGGGCTCAGGCTCTAAGAGATAGGATCATCTAAGAGATAGGACCACTCATAACTGCACCTGAATATGGTCTTTTAGGCTCTGCCTGGCCCCAGGGTCACAGCCTGATCTACCTGGCTCACTTCCATGGCACTGATCGTCGTTACCAACAAGGAGTGTCTCTGAGCCTCATCACACTCCCTTGCTTCACACCTGCCTTCTCCAACTTAACTCTCTCCTCATGTTCAAGTCCTGATCCAGGGCTGCCATGCCCAGGACAATAGACTGTTGGCTGTGGAGACAGGTTCTGAATCTGGGTCTCCCTAATGAAGGGGGTGATCAGGGAAAGGTGGCCTTATTTTAACATTGTCCTCTTCCTGACAGCAGGGGAGAGGCATCATCTCAGGCATCTCCTCTCCCACACTCAGTCCACACTTTCCTCCCTGCCCTCAGCACCACATTGGAGTCACAGAACTACAGAGCTGTCAAGAAGGTCCATCTTCAAATGATGTTCCCCTGAAACAAGACACTCATCCCCAACTCTCTCCCAGTCCCAAGACAGGCCAAGCCTATCCTGGATGCAGATAGGAACTGGGTACACATGAGGGAGTCCTCTGGGTGATAGCTGGCACCAGGCACTCAATACCTAAGGGAGGAGGCTGTGGGCTCAGCTCTGGAGAGGTGCCCCTCCCTCTGTTGTCACTGCTAGGTCAGGGTGACAGCTCTACCTCTGCTGATATCTAAGGTTCATGAACTGCGCCAGGACATCACTCAGCAACAGACCTGGCCTAATACGTGTCCTCCTGTCTCAAAACACCAATTACAGAGAAAGCTCCTGGGGCCTGGTTCAGGTAAAAAACACACCTTGAGAGATATAAAAACCCCCATAGTCCAAAGCTCTGATAGCGTAGTGCCTAAGGCACTTGACTGCTAACCAGAAGTCTGGCAGTTCAAACTCACCAGCCACTCCTCAGAAGGAAGATGGGGCAATCTACTTCCATAGTGATACTGCCTCGGAAACCCAAGGAGGGGTCGCTATGAGTCGGGTCCGACTTGATGGCACATAGCAACAACAACAACAACATAGTCCAGAACTCCTCATTCATTCATGCACTCACACACTACTCCATCACCTCACTATGTGCCAGCCATCACCCTACCATGGCTGCATCTACCATGTCTATCTGCTCCAGTGACTTAGCCAATGGGAGCCACATCTGCCTATTTGGTGCCTGTGAATCTTGCACCAGCTCCCCCTGGCAGGTGGATGACTGTCCAGAGAGATGCTGTGAGCCCCTGATGCTGTGAGTCCCCCTGCTGTGCCCCCACCTGCTGCCAGTGCACCTGCTCTGCTTCCACCTGCTACACCCCCACATGCTGTGTTCTGGCCCCCCTGCCTGAATGCATCTGTACCCCTGTGAGCTGTGTGTGTCCAGCTCCTGCTGCTGGGAAGCCTGTATGTCTAGCCCCTGCCCATTGTCTTCACCAGCTCCAGTGCTTCCTCTTGATGCCAGCAGGCTACCTGCCACACACCTACTTGCTGACCACAGGACTGTCTGCTGCAAGTCTGTCTGCTGTGTGCCTATCTGCTGTGCTTCTAGCCCTCTGCCTATGCCGCCTCCTGCTACGAACTCTCTTAGTGTGTGCTAATTGTCCTGCTGTGTGCCCACATCCTCCTCCTGGGTCTTCTTCCTCTGCTGCCTATGTGCCCCTGACCAGCCTATTGTGTCCCCATCTCAGCCCAGACATCCTGCTGCTCACCAGTGTATTCTCCCAAGTTCAGCTGGGCTGAGACCTATCTGGAAATTTGTAACCCCACACCCCTGTCTTCAAGTACTCTTCTACCATTTAGACCAGACTTTGAATCTGCCATGTTAGCCTTGCCCCTGAACTAGAAGATGTGGAATCCGGGAAAATTCACACTCTAATTTCAGTGGTCATCCCAGAAACCCAGGCTCTTTCCTTGCTTGTGGCATCCTTTTCAGCTCTGATGACCTGGCCCTCCTCTGGACAAATCAATGACTTCACATTCTTTGCCTTTTAGATCTTCATGTTTTGACTTTGCAAGTCCAAATGTAGCAGTCCAGACCCTGTAGCTGTGATGGCTTCACACTTAGACAATCAGAGTATTAACTCTACAGGAGATAAACTAGGGACCCCATCAGGGCCTCTGTATTGCAGTCCTGAGTGGATGGCTTCCTTCCCACACAGGCATGCCTCATCACCTAACAATTTCCCTGTCACCCACTGCCAATGGCCATTCTCCAGGCTGCTGCTGGCCCCTCCCCACCACGCCTCCATGCCCTCAGGCCATGCCCACACAGCCTCCTGGGCATCACACAGAACTCCTCTGCTGTCCTCACTAGAAGGAAACACTTTAGGCCTCCAGCTTCTGAGGACTGGAAAAGTGTGCCTTCCTAATAAAACAAATGGAAAGTTTAAGATTGGTGTGATTTTCTACCTAAGTGTTTAGGAGAATTCACTGGTGAAGGTATTGGTGCCTAGAGTTTTCTTTGTAGGAAAGCTTTTATTTATAGATTAGTTTCTTCAGCATGTAAGATATTCAGTTCTTTACTCCTTTTGTGTCAAATCTATGAGTATTGAAAAATATATACAGTTGTGTAGCACCACCACACTCAAGATATTGATTGTTTCCATTATTCCAGAAAGTATCCTCATGCCTCTTGTACTCAATCCACGTTCCCTGACGAGCCCCTGGCTACCACTGATCTGTTTTTGTTTGTTTGTTTTGTTTTGTTTTGTTTTTTAATCTCTATAGTTTTGCCATTTTCCAAAATGTCATATGGGTGGAATGACAAAGCATTTCATATTTTGCCCTAATAAATGGGCCAGAGAAGAGATACAGATGGCAAAGAAGCACATGAAATGCATATGATGTTCAACATCACAAGTCATCAGGGAAATGCAAATTAAAACCCCAGCATACCATGACACACATAGAAGAATGAATAAACTAACAACAGATCTGACAGTATCAAGGGCTGGTAAGGATGCAGAGCATTGAGTTGAAACCTACCATCTTAGTTTGTTTTCTGCTTAAGCCTATTTCCTTTTCTCTCCTTGCTTAGGAGTTTTGGACTGTTTTGAGATTTTTATTCTTCTATTTTCTCTCATCTACTTCCTAGTTAGTTAAATATTCTAAAATTTTTTTGAGATTATGTGAATTTCTGAATTTGTAAGTTGACTATAAATCAGGCTTTTCTCTATTTCCCATTGTACTTAGAACATTTTAACTCTATGTTGATCCTTCTTGACTTTTGTGATATAGTCACCATGTTTTTACTTCTATAAAAATTTTGAAACTCACAAGATATTTTATACTGTCATTATTCATTGACATTTATGTATCTATAGCCTTCTTCTGTCACACTTCATTTGTTTATCAATGTATTTGTTCGATCATGACAGTTTTCTTCCTGCTGTAAAGCTGCTTTTAATATTTTCTTTAGTATAACTCCAGCTAATGACACACTCTCTCAGTGTTTTACTTGCATTGGAATGTCGTTATCCTGCTCCCATTTTGGAGGATCTTCCTCCAAAGTTGTAGAACCCTAGCTTTATGCTTATTTCTTTCAGCACAAGATACCATTCCATTGTCTTCCAGCTTCCACCATTTCTCCTGAGAAGTCATCTGTCAAATTTACTGTTTGTCTTTTGATTGTATGTGTGTATTTTGTCTTTGTCTTTGATTTCAGCCCTAGTGTGCCTAATGTGTTTTCCTTCCTTCTTTTCTTATTTGGAATTATTTAATGTTTCTTTAATGTAGGAGTTGATATCTTTCATCACTTTTAAGTGCTTTTCCCATTGTTGCTGTTAAACAAACAAAAAAAAAAAAAACTCACTGCTATTGAGTCCATGATGACTCATAGCAACTCACATTGGGTTTCTGAGGCAGTAAATCTTTACAGAAGTGGATTGCCCCACCTTCCTTCCATGGAGCAGCTGGTGGGTTTGAACCACCAATCTTTTGGTTAGCAGTCAAATGCCTTAGGCACTGCACTACCATAGCTCCTTTATTGTTGTTTGCTGTTGTTAGTTGTTCCTTTTACAGCAGGAAAAACCCAACTCACCCAACTCATGGTGACCCCATTACTAAAGAGTAGAACTACTTCATAGAATTTCCTTGAAGTAATCTTTATGGATTGTCTATGGAAATACGATACAACAGAATGCAGAAATTATCAATCAATAAATTACTATCTCACAAAAGTAAAATTCTGCTGAAGATAATTAAAAAATGGTTGTAGCAGGATATTGACAGGGATCTTTTTTTAACCTAGGTCTCCTATTTTTTCTCAGCTAGAGGGCTAGTCTGATACAAACTTTTCTACCACTCATGGCAGCTGAACTTCACAACATTTTATGCATAATAAGAAAATGTTGGCACAATGCAACCATTTTCAGGACTCAAAATTATTATTCAATTACTTTTGTGGAAAAAATAAATCATATATTAACCAGTTTTCTCTACAGGTCTACATTATGCCAGATATTATTTTAGGTATTCAGAGATTGAATATTGAATAAGACAAGTTCCCTGGTCACATGGAGTTTACCTTCTAGAGGTGAAGGAGAATGGAGCAGATAATAACAAAGACAATAAACAAGATTAGTTGAGAGACTTTAAAAAGAAATACTGATGATGGAGGACTTGATCTCTCTAGTATTAAAACATATCATGAAGCTACAGTATTTCAGAGTGCAACAAAATCTAC